CGAGTAGCAATCCCATCTTTATTTTTTCCGGAGATCTCTAGCAATGTACTAATGATACTATTGCAAACATTCGTCTCAATGTGCATAACATCTAGGGCATGCCTCACAGGGAGTTATTTCTAATACTCGAGATCAAAGAATTTTGATTTCTTCTTCCAACAAACTCTGTCACCATCATTCTCACCAACACTTCCCCCATTTTTCGAGCCCCATATGTAATTAATATCTTCAACCATATGCAGCACTTCTTCTCTGGTTAATGGCTCAGGAGGCGTGCCATATTCAGGTTTCCCATTAAAAGCTGCACGTTGCCTCCTATATGGATGATTGATTGGTAACCATTTTGTGGCCATTTTTCAACCTGTGACTAGGTGTATCATCGCCGCGTATTGGACAAGCTTTATATACTTTAACAACACAACTAGATAAGTTTCCGTAGACAGGAAAATCATTAATTGTCCACAGTAATACACCTCTGAGTGTAAAGTATTCTCCTATGTGTGCATCATACACTCCTCTAATCTCATCCCACAAAGATTTTAAATCATCAATCAAAGGCTCTAAGTAGACGTCTATAACATTTCCGGGCTGTTTAGGACCGTTAATCAATAAGGTCAACATCATGAACTTCCTCTTCATGCATAGCCATGGTGGGAGATTATATGTAATTAAGATAACTTGCCAGCAACTGTATCTACTACTTAAAGAACTGTGGGGATTGAATCCATCAGATGAGAGAGCCAATCTCGAGTTTCTTGGCTCTTTACCAAACTCGGGCCATTTATCATCAACAAGTTTCCAAGATGGGGAATCTGCTGGATGAGACATATGACCGTCAACTGATTTTCTTGCAGCATGCCAAGTCAAAATCTTAGCTGTCTTATGTGATTGAAACATCCTTTTAAACCTTGGAATTGGAGGAAATACCAAACCACCTTCGCTGGCACACCCTCTTTCAAGAATCCATCTTTGCTTTCCTTCCACCTTGAAGTACCACAAGTAGGACAATTAGTTGAATCCTCATACTCCTTCCTACACAAAATGCAGTCATTGGGACATGCGTGGAATTTCTCATAACTCATCCCTAAAGCAGACAAAGCCTTTTTTGCCTCTTACATAGAGGAAGGTAGTGTATTTCCTTCTGGAAGCAATTCTCCTTGAAGTATCAATAATTCTGTAAAACAAACATCACTCATCCCATGTTTTGCTTTCAAATTATATAACTTCACCAAAGCCGACAACTTCGTGTACTTACTGCAACCAGGGTACAAGGGTTGATCGCCATCCCCAATCACATTGGCAAGCTCATAAGGATCAGATCCAATATTGGCAAAATCATTATCATCCATCTCTAAGACAAAACGGCCTGACAACGCACTTAGGGCGCGCGAGGATATGACAGAAGCCTGGGAACGACGTTTCGATTGACGAGGCAAAATAATGACTCACGCAATTCGAAAGCACGATGACGTATCGAAAGCCCAGAGACCGTCGTTTCATTTGACGAGGCAAAGCAACGCCTCGTATAAGCCTGGGTAATGATGGCCTGCACGACGTGCTCAAAGCATTAAATGCGCCAACTGACCTGCGCATTTAATACCCCAGTTGTCAATCACTTCAAAAGGAATGCAGAGGGTCCATCCCCTGGAATCCATTCGGCCCCAACCCATGCCGAGACCGAAGAATTCGGGGATGTGGGGGCAATGTTTGTGCTTAATAAATCACGGCCATGAACTGACCGAAGGAGTCCCTTTTTCGCGGCCCTAGCACTTGCTCATGAGACTAAAACGCGGCGTTTCGCCAAAGACGTTTTGGCCCTTCTGAAAACAAAAGAGAAATTGCTAAGGCATGATCATCTCGGCCTCGATTATAGGCCGAGGCCGAGGCCGAGGCCGAAACAAAATCACGGCCAAAGGTAGTAAAGTCAAATCATCACGTGACAGCACGGTCCCATGCTTCATTTAATGAAGTAATGCCTCTGTTTATTGCAGCAAACCCATTGACCACAAATAAACATTTAATGCACAAGGGAAGGTGGGAAGTGACTGGAGTCAGAATTTGGTAATGGAATCAGAATGATTAGACACAGACATTCTCACAAGAATTCTTACAGCTTGAGAGAGTAGGTCACTAGCCATCAAAGCAATAAATGCGTCTCCACGGCCAGAGGCGCATAACCCACGATTAGGGCGGCGGCCGAGATTTACCAAGATTTATGGAGTCACACCACCATGCTTCACGATCCCAAATGTCGATTAGACTACCCACTTGCTCTAATCAGGCTCCACCATGCGGATTTTCATCCTCGAGTACTTCTCCAAGAACTCTTCCTATAAATAAGAGGCTCAAGCTACATTCAAAGGGTTCAAACACCAAACCAAAGCCTCCCACGGAGCAACTTATTTTTTCCTGTAATGCACTTTCAATATCTTTACTTGCTTTCCTAGGAGTAGTGTTAGACTGTAAGGAAAATCCATTCATCAATATATCATACGACCCTTGATTTTCAAGGCGCCGGAGCACCATCTTTGTTATTCGCTCATTCACCCCATATATCATATGACCGTCGCTCGTCGAGCCACGCGCCGGAGCACCGCCCAAAACCCACCACCAACACCATCATTGAACGGCCTTGTAGTTCAGGCCGTGAACCTAACAGTCGAGATTAGTTCCTCTCTCGGCTACAATCGTTTGATTAGAAGACAAGTTCAAACAAGTGCACCACTTAACCATTCCCCATACACATCAATCATCTCGACGCACGGTAGACCGTGCTGGCACGCCCGCGCACAACCGCACCGCATCCAAAAGCAGGAAGCCGCGTGTCAACGCATATCCCCTCGGCCTGGAACTCCAGGCCGTAAGATTTGTGCGGCAGACAGCGTTAAATTGTAAGGAAAATCCATTCATCAATATATCATACGACCCTTGATTTTCAAGGCGCCGGAGCACCATATTTGTTACTATTTCATTCACCCCATATATCATACGACCATCGCTCCTTGAGCAGCGCGCCAGAGCACCGCCCAAAACCCACCACCAACACCACCATTAAACGGCCTTGTAGCTCAGGCCGTGAACCTGACAGCCGAGAACCGCTCATCTCTCGGCTACAATCACTTGATTAGAAGTTGAGTCCAAACAGGCGCACCACTCAAACACTCTATCCACACCAACACCTCGATACACGGTAGACCGTGCTGGCACGCCCGCGCATAACCGTACCGCATCCAAAAGCAGGAAGCCACGTGTTAACGCTCATCCCCTCGGCCCGGAACACCAGGCCCTGAGATTTGCGCAGCCAATAAGAGTGTATTCTCTTTCTAGGAAGGTAGCTGACCTTGCGACGAACACCTTTTCCTCGTCCATGTAACAGAAGTAATATCCCATAGTTTCCTTGGGATACCCTTTAAATCTACACTTCACTGACCATGCATCTAGTTTATCCGCATCTTGTCTTTTGACAGATGCTAGACAACCCTAAATCTTGATATAACCCAGACTTGGTTTCTTCCAAAACCACATTTCGTAAGGAGTTTTTGGAACAGATTTGGAAGGCACTCTATTTAACAAATGAATTGTTGTTTCAAGTACATATCCCCAAAAGAATATAGGTAAATCAGTATAGCTCATCATGGAACGAACCATATCCATTAAGGTTCAATTTCTCCTTTCAGAGACCCCATTATGTTGTGGAGTCCTTGGTAGAGTTCATTGTGATAAGATGCCATGTTCCTTGAGGTAATCAAGAAACTCTGTGCTTAAGTATTCACCTCCTCGATCGGATCTAAGGATTTTAATACCCTTGCCAGTTTGGTTTTCAACTTCATTTCTGAATTCCTGAAACTTTTTAAAAGATTCAGACTTATGCTTTATTAAGTATAAATACCAGAACCGTGAATGATCATCGGTAAAGGTAATGAAGTATGAATAACCTCCCCTTGCGTTTGTAGACAAAGGTCCACAAACATCTATGTGGATCAACCCTAACAATTCTGTAACTCCTTCTCCTTTACCAGTAAAAGGAGACTTGGTCATTTTACCTTGTAGACAAAATTCAGAAGTAGGCATAGGAGCAGGGTCTAAAGATCCAAGGCATCCATCTTTTGCCATCCGGTGAATCCTATCTTGGCCAATGTGTCCAAGTTTGAGGTGCCACAATTTAGTGGAGTTATCCACATCTTTAGGCCTTTTAGGTCTAGATGCATCTTTATCCATTCAATTAATACTACCATTCATTTCCAAATGAAAAAGACCATCAATCAAATTTGCATAAGCAATAATTCGATTATTATGTGAAATAGAACAAAGTAGTTTGTCAAACAAAACAACAAATCCGTCTCTTAAAAGCATAGAGATAGATATTAAGTTCTTTACACAACCAGAAATGAAATATCAATTATTTAAATTCAGGGTCTCCCCGGAAAGTAGATTGAGATGATAGGTGCCTACAGCTTTGGCAGTTACCTTAGTGGCATTACCCACAGTTTGCACCATTTCTCCTTTTCCGAGTCTTCTACTTCCCACTAGTCCCTGCACACAATTGCAAATATGTTGACTAGCTCCTGAATCAACTATCTAGGTAGAAGTATTAACTGTAAAAACTGATTCAAGAACAAGAGTGTTACCTTCCGAAGGCTTGTTCTTTAAGCTTGCGAGGTAATCCTTGCAATTCCTCTTCCAATGTCCGTCCTTTCCACAGTGAAAGCAAGTTCCTTTCGGTTCCTTGCCTTTCTTTGTTATTTTTCCTTCCTTGGGTTTTAGAAAACCTTTCTTCTTCTTTCCCTTATCCTTACCTTTCGGTTTGGATTTGGAAGAGGAGGAAGAACCCTTTTCAAACACCGCAACTGTCCCTTTCAACCCTTTATCCTTTGAGATATTTTTTTTCCAGCTACTATGGCCATATTGAGTAGCTTAGATAAGGTGCTTTCCATCTTTCCCATATTATAGTTCTTAACAAATTGGGAAAAATCTGATGAGAGGGACGAAAGAAAAAAGGTTTATTGAACTTCAACATTAAATGGAGCGTCCAATTTTTCCAATTTCTCAACTAATGATATTATCTTGAGACCATGCTGATTAACCGGAGTCCGTCTTGTCATCTTTGTGTTGACAAGTTCACATATTGTATTGTAACGCAAGCTACGAGTAGCTTCACCATAAAGCTCTTTAAGGTGAAGCAATATGGAAGCACAATCATCCATATCTTCATGTTGTTTTAGTAGCTCATCTTTCATGGATGCTAGTAAGTAACATTTACCTCTACTATCATCCTTGACATGCTTCTCATAAGCAGTTATTTCTTCCTGAGTAGCTGTTTGGTCAGGAGGAATATGTGGTGGGGCTTGTGTCAACACATAATCAATCTCATCCATTTTAAGGACAAGTTTAACTTTTGCGAAGCCAACTCGGATAGTTCGTGCCATCAGGGATAGTTCCTCTGGATTGGTGAAATAAATATATATGTGTGTGTATCATATTGGTGAATTTTTCCTCATTGATTTGATTAAAGTACCTGAACTGATGCATGTAGATAGTTGAAGAGTAGTTTATTCATTGCATTGTCCTAAAGCATTAGATTTTTTTTAAAACCAGAGCTAATCCATTTCTGCAGACTTGTGTATTAATATAATTTGTTTTGCCACTCAATTTCAGCTGAGAGTATTCCCTTTGGAGAGGGCAGGCTTAGAGTTGAAGGAAATTGCACAAGAGTACAATCTGAATGGGGATTCTTCTAACTCTGAAGCGGGCAGTCTTGTAGCATATTGAATTTGGGTTTCTGTTTGGGTGTGATTTGTTAGACATGTGAAATATTGTCAATTTGATTGTCTCATTGATTTCGTTTTGATTGCCAATTTGTGAAATTTTGACTCATCAATCTATGCTTAAGTTTGAAATATTGGTTTTGGTTGTATGCAAGGGAGGTCAAGATGAATTTATTTATTTTCTACTTATGTTGTCTGTGACTTTACTAATGATAATAACAGTTTCTAAATATAATCAAGAGTATATATATATATAGATTAAGAATTTTTATTAAAAAAAATTTAAAGAATTTCAACGACGTCTAAACCGTGTCATTGAAACCACATTCCATGATGCGGAATAGACCGTGTTTTGGAAATGTTTCCACGACAGGATATCCACGTCATTGAAACCTCATTCCATGACACGGAACAGACGTCGTGTTTTGAAAAAGTTTACGTTTCTAAGAAACGCCATCCGCGTCATTGAAATCCCATTCCATGACGTGGCACAGATGTGTTTTAAAAAATTTTCCATGACACGGAATAGACGTCGTGTTTTGAAAAAGTTTCCATGACCCCCCCTTTTGACGACGCGGGTAACGACGCCAGATCCGTGTCATTAAATGCCTTCTATGACGTAAATCAGACGTCATAGAAGGGTTTTTGGGTTGGTTTTGCGTTGCACAGTATTTATTTCCATTTCAGTTCCTCCCCGTGAGTATTCGACCTTCCCCTTTTTGTTTATTCCTTTATGTCCTAGTTAAATATCTCTTACCCTTATTCCCTCTTACGTTCAGGAAGCCACCTCCTCCGACGACCTTGATGAGTTATACGCCAGCCTCCATGAGGAAGGGGGAAGCTCGGCCTCGGCTCCCTTGGACGAGGATTCCAAGATTGTCATTGACCGGCTCCGAGAGTTCCTTCTCCTGATCCGTGTCATTAAATGCCTTCTATGACATAAATCAGACGTCATAGAAGGGTTTTTGTGTTGGTTTTGGTTTGCACAGTATTTATTTCCATTTCAGTTCTTAGTTTAATCGAAACATTCCATCAATGAGACTTGCTTTACCGAATAAATCTTTATTTATGAAAATAGAACAACCAGCTCCATCAAAATTCAAACTGAACTTTGATTTTACAAGTCTAGTAACTGAAATCAAACTCTTCTTCATAAAAGGAACATAAACTACTTCATCTAATTCTAAAACAAAACCAAATTCTAGCTTGATTCTAACTGTCCCTATGTAACTAACTTGGACTTCTTCTCCATTTCCCACGAACACCTTCATTTCATCCTTGCTTGGCAGCCTCTTGTTTGTAAACTCCCGCAAAGAATTAGCCACATGAATAGAAGCACCACTATCTAACCACCATGAATCATATGAGAAATTAACCAAATTAGATTCGAAAAAGACCAAAATCATATTGTTGTTACCTTTTCCCTTCCTCTTTTCCAACCACCATTTATATTTCCTGCAGTCTCTCTTCATATGCCTTGTTTTCTTGCAAAAGAAGCAATTCATTCCAGTTGCAGGTTTCAAAGCCTTTTCTACAATGCTCTCTTTCTCTTTCCCAGTTGCAGTCTTATACTTATTTTCCTTATTCTATTTAGTCTGAATCATGTTGACCATCTTGGCTCCCCTTTCTCTTATGATGTTGTGTTCTTGTTGAACAGTAATTGTAATGAGATCATTCAAAGTCCAGTTCTCTTTCTGAGCAATGTAGGTTTCCTTGAGAGATTTAAATTCCTTAGGTAATGAATTCAGTGCAAAATGGACCATCATATCCTCATCTACTGTCATACCTAGTTCCTGCAGTTTAGTCCCTATGTCGATCAAGTTGATGATATTAGCTCTTACACAACCTTGTCCATCATATTTCATATCAATAAACTGATTCAGAAGGGTGCTCTTGACAGCTTTCTTGAATTCCTTAAACCTCTGTGCAATTGCCTCATAATATTGTTTTGCATTCTCAGATTTGGGAATGCTTCCTTTCACTGATGAAGCCATAGCCCTTTACATGATCAACATAGCCATCTTGTTTGTTTTTTCCCATTTGGCAAAGTTTGTCTTCGTTTCTACAGAAGCATCTGTAGCTAGCACTTGAGGAGGTTTCTCTTTAAACACAAAATTGTAATCCAAAAAACCTAGAGATATTTCCAAATCCTGCTTCACTTGCTATAGTTTGATCTAGTTAAGGTTTCGATGGAGTTGTGATTCACCGTAGAATTTGCAATACAAATTAAATAAAACTGTCCCTAAATCTTGATTTAAACATGTCAACTTATACCTGTGGCTTTAAGTTAGCCTGTTCCGAAACCCTAAACAGTAAACTGCACAAGCTTCCTACGCAAGTAAACTCACATTTGTGGATGTAGATACACTTGCTAGCCAGTGCAGTCGACTGTCCAGATTGTTCCAACAATGTTGTGATCAATATGCATAATTTCCATATGTGGATGGAGAATCATATAGAAGGCTATGAGCACTGATCCAAAAGCAAACCATGATGGTAAATCCCCGTTGTTGTTAAACCAAACAACGTCATTAACAAATAACAACCGACGTCTGTGTATTGAAAAATGAGCCAAAACAATTGTCAAGGATAAGAATAAACGACCAATTTTAACAAACAAACGTCGTTTACTACGCAACACATGACATATTTTAACAGAACATGGCCGCAAGAGACGCATACCACGACGAAAACTAAAACTCATAGCCGTTACATATACCTTTCACGACACATGATCAAACAAGAAACGTGAAATACAATTATGACGTCTTTAAATAAATAATAGACAACGTTATTGATGCATACTACGTCACCACAATTTATATAACCGTCGTGAAATATATTTTCCACTTCATTTTTTCCATTAATATTGACGTGGAAATAGAGGTTAGGGTCATTCTTAAGACGCATATATTTCTATAGACGACGTTGTATTTAATAAACAATGTCGTCCTCAAATAAAAGACAACTGTGTTTCAGAATTTATACGTCATCTTTAAAAAATGACCGTCGTCTAATGTATCTGAGACGGCAAAGTTTGTCAGTCGATCGCCGTAAAAAATTATTTTAACGACATGATCTGAAAATAAACGACGTGGATAATATGTTAGGGTCATTACTTATGACCCATTTATTTCTGCAGACGACGTTGTGTTTGATGGACAACGTCGTCATCATGTAAAAGACAGTCGTGTTTCGAAATTTATACGTCATCTTTACCAAAATGACAGTCGTCTAATATTTTCGAGACGGCAAAGTTTGTCAGCCAATCGCCGTGTAAAATCCTTTTAACGACATAAGAATAAATAAAAAAAGACGTTGATATTCCTATATAACGTTGTTTTTGTAAAAGAACAATGTCCAAATATCTCTTTATGTCGACAAATTTACCTCTGGATTTAAAATACCATCGTGAATTGTCCTGTTTCCACTTCGTTTATGAGATAACAAGCGACGTGGTAAAATTTAAGACGACGATTTTTGAGTTGATATGGACGAGTTCATAATCTAAGATGTCGTCTTTTGTAACGTTCAGGTTAGATATCTCGTCTTTTAGACGTCGGTATTATGGGATTGGAGTCGTGTTATTTGTAATTACATGTCGGCTCTTTAGGGTTCCCCGACGTGATATCGTTAATAACTGTTTCACAATACCGTCGTGGTTCTTCATTTTTACGTTGCTTTTAGACGTCGGTAAATACATTGCGGTCGTTGAATGCTCCAAAACATCGTTTTTTAATGAAAATTTTATTAAAACAGACATCTGTTTTTCACATTTTTATCAGGACCATCGTTTTTGTAATCTTGAACCAGTATTTTTTGTACTGATTGTTTTGTGGCCAAAACCTACATAATAAAAGTGAAGAAAACACATTACAATTTATTACAAAATTAATGTCATACACTTCCGTTTAGGGCATAAGTAATTTCATAAATTACAAGTGCATCATTCAATCCATATATCTTCACACCCATCTCGAATATTTTGACTCCCAAACTCACCCACCAGTTCATCAAATGTGTCAACATTTGGCATCCCTCTAGTAAATGGCTCACACTCAATTCTCACATCACCTAAGACATCATCACCAATAACATCATTGTTTTCTCTATTAGGCATTGATAACACTACCGACCAACCACGATGCATCGGGTCGTCAACAAAAAATACTTGTTTGACTTGAGAAGCCAAAACAAATTGGTCATTCCTATGTCCAATTTTACTCAAATCTACAAGGGTAAATCCAAGTTCATGGTATGTGCAAGTAAATAAACTCCACTATTTTGAACTGTCCGCACATCATCTTGTGCCTTGATGTTAAATTTAACACCTTTAATAAGATAGCTCCTATATAATGGCACTGCCATGTTTGGACCAGCTGCTAGCCACCTTAAATTTTCTGATACGCCATGATTGTCTTCCTCATTAAGTTCACTTTGAACCTGCAAATTAATCATATCTTAATTCAATCTAACATAGAAAGAATAAAATTAAAAGTCCAATATGTTATTCAATAACATATACCTTGAAGCGTAGCCATTGAATGAAAGTCCTATTATGCTTATCTTGTAGCCACTTTGTTCTCTTTCTAAATTTTGGATAAGCGGTCTTGATGTGGATCATATGTTCCCTACATGACACGAAAAATTCAAGCTTTACG